ACACCGAGTATTTGTGGAGTCTGTGTATTAGGGTTTATTGTAAGGGCTCTTCATGGAAAAAATGCACAGCTGAGCAAAGCTTTTTTTTTTTTTGCCAAGACCAAAGGATAGATTTCATTAAGTACATAAACAGTGTCTTCCACTTTAAGAATGTCCATTCTTCTGCCTTAATACAAAACATGAGTAATATCAGTTTTCAGGACAGATTACTACTCACCACCCTACACTAATTTGCACAGCAAAATATTTACCCTAGAGAACACAAATCTCCTACGCTTTTCCATCAAAAGGCAACAGTGTAGTACAGAACACAAGAGGGCAGTCTGATCCCTTCCCTTTAAAGAACACTGCTTTGCACACGGCCTGATGGAACAGACTATAATTAGAGAGCTGTGACTCACAAAAACTGGATCAGAAGGGTCTTGAGGCAAATCATGTAGATGTAAGTATCTTACTTCAGCGAAAAGAGAAATTCTGTTATCATTCACTGATGTTCATGAAAATATTTTGAAAAATGTCTCAGTGTTCAGTGTTGTTTGGACCCCAGTGTTCTTCAGAATATTTTCCTTTTTGTTTTACAGATGAAAGAAAGTCATATAAGTTTGATGTTCATTGTTGGGTGAACTATACCTTTAAGGTGAAGTTAGTCATTTCCAAATCAAGGGGCAGCAATTAACAAGAATTCCAACCTATTGCAACCAAGGTCAAACCCAGCATAAGAACACTAGATAAATCGAATACAATTTAGTGATGCACCGATGTATCGGCCAATAATCGGTATCAGCCGATAGAACAATTATCTGCATGACTGTTTAAAAACAGCCTATGATCAGGACTAAACGTGTCAGACAGCAACTTGCATGATGTAAATGTTTCTTGTGTTGAATTTAGGGGTGTCCAAGCTAAAGCAATAACACATTAACGCACCACAGGGTTGCCAGATCAAATATAAAACAGCTTGTGATCAATATAAACTTTGCATTTACCTCAGGTAAGTTATTCAGTGTTCACAGTTCATTAGTTAGCTATAAAAAACACTGTAGGGAGCTTATTTACTGTTAATTATGAATGTATGTTTGAATCACTGATCTATAATAGAGAATGTATTAACTAGTTCAGTGGTTTGAATAAATCTGTCTTGATAAGTTTTTATGAAAAGCATCCTTATGTGCAGTTGAGTTGTATTATTATATCAGAAAATAAATAGCATTGAATATAATAGTTTTGTTGTTCATTTTAACCTCTAATATTATGTAACAAATGAGAGGGTTACCTGTGAAGTTTACAACATTAGTTGGAAGAGATTTTTTTTTTCCCTTAAGAAAACCCAAACTATCGGTATCGGCAGATATCATTCTGAATAATCGCCTAATCAGTTATGCTGAGATGTAGAAATTTTCATGTCCACATTTTCTTTAAGCTTAAATGTTTCTCGGATGAATAACGAAACGGTGTTAAAACAATAATGAAAAATAGTGAATAATAACCTTTGTAAGTAGGCCTCCCTTATTGTGTTTTCTATTTTTAAAATTCAATATATCAAAATAAAGTAATATAGAAAAAGTATTTTTCCACAGCAGTAGTTGGTTCAAAATGAAAATCCGGTCACTCACCCACACCTCTTTTATCTGGGAAAGACGAATGATGGCTAAGAAAATGTTGATTACAACTGTTAAGCACCATGCAGAGTGCCATAAAAGTAATAAATATTATTTGAGTGCTGTATAAATCTCCTAAAGATATTCGATAGCTTTGTCTGAAAAACAAACCAAAATTTAAGTGGTAATTGGCTTAAAATATTGAAAACCATGCATTTGAATATGACGCCTTTTGTTCGGCAGTGAACGCAACATCACCATATAAGGAAAAGAAGGCGGAGATTGCACACAAACCTCTTTGGTTCGGAAGTTTTTATTTATTTATATATATTTTTAACATTTATCTTTATTATACCTCTTCAGACAACATCATTTGTTTTAAATATTTTTTATTATTTGTTACCAAAATATATAAAAGCATAATTAAATTACACTTAAAGGGGTCATATGATGCTGCTAAAAAGAACATTATTTTGTGTATTTGTTGTAATGAAATGTGTTTATGCGGTTTAAGGTTCAAAAAACACATTATTTTCCACATTTTGTACATTATTGTTTCTCCTCTAAGCCCCGCCTTACAAAGCTCATCGGTCTGAAAAAGCGAGGTGTGCTCTGATTGGCCAGCTATCCAGTGCATTGTGATTGGCCGAATTCCTCAAGCGTGTGATGGAAATGTTACGTCCCTTACCATATTGTGATGCCTGCGGCAACCACATGTAACGACCCCGGGCTGGACTCCGCTTTGTCCATGGTGAAAACCGATCCGGCGGTCGACAGCGCGAAGTTCAAGTATTTCCTCAGCGATCAGCACGGATCAGCTCCAGGCATGATGAAGCGAAATCGTCCTCTTTTGGAAGGCCAAACAAAGCAGTGTCGCTTTCACAACGAAGCACACAGTGCCTTCACGACATGGTGGCGGCAACAACAATACCACAGCCAGAATAAAAGTTACGCCTTCTTTCTTTGCGTGAACATTTGAGCGGCGTTATGCAAATCTTCCCACATAGCGACGTAGACATGTGGGGGCGTGTTAGAACGAGCCGTTTTGGGTAGGTGTGGCTGACTCTTAACTTTTATAAAGAATATCTCTTTGGATTTGAGACTTTAGTCTTTGCAACTTCACAGATCTTCTTTCTTCCAAGAGCTTGTAACACTCCAAAGAGAAAGGAAAAATTTTAATCGCATCATATGACCCCTTTAAGGAGAGTTATCAATATATTGCACGTAATTTCGAGAGTTTTAATGCATTCTTTTCTGAACTGCTTTAAGGATTGAAATAAATCCACTTAGGAAGATAACAGAAGCATGTCTTGTGTTTCCCTTACGAAAAATAAGTTTTTTCAAGTGTGCTATTAGTATATTTCTTATAAAAATAGGAAAGTATACTTTCAGTCTACATTTTATTTACTTCTCAGAAATGTGCTTTATGTACTTCTCTGAAATATACTTAAAATTACATTTAAGTATATTTGACATACTTAGAAAAAGTCTAAATATATTTGATCTATACTTGTGTTCTGAGAATTCATGTTTTCATTGTTATATGATAGGGGGCGCTATTACACATCTTCTGTACAGAATTTCCAAAACACAAGCGAAGAAGAAACTGAAACAACAGATGCTTCCACATGTAATGTAACACGATCAGTCATAAAACAGCATCAAAACTGTGTAACACCTTATGGAATAAAATGTCGACCCATGAAGAGGTAATGACTGTCAAGCTTTGGGGTGTTGATTGACTCCATCTATGTTTTGATTATCATTCTGAATCCAATTCATAGTCTTTTTTTCAGCGTTTTGTCCAAAATTGTTTATTTATGAAACTTACCCACATTCAAGTGCTAACAAAAAGGAATGCACGAAGCTCGAATAAAATGTTTGTTTACAAGCAGATACCCTGTTCTTTCTTTTGATGTTTGTATGTTCAGATAACATAGTAGTATACTTAAAGTATGATGTAAAGTTCACTTAAAAAAAAAAAAACTTACGAGTATACTTGCAGTATAAAACTACTAAACTATTAGTTTACTGAGACTATACTTCAAAGTGTACTAAAAATGCTACAAGTATTAGTAAACTATCAGTATACCTATAAGTTCGCTTTTAGTATAGTTGCAGTACAAACTAAAAACATATGTTATACATACTGATATACTTAAAGTATACTTTTATATACTAGAAAGTGGGCCAATTTAGTCCCAAGGAATATTGAAATAGTACACTTACAAGTATAGTACTAGTACACTGATATTTGTATACTTACTACATAAAGTATACTTAAAAAATACTTGAAATTTACTTAAGTATACTTAATAAAATAAACTTGAAGTATACTTCTTTTTGGTAATGGTTGTGGCAAAATCGAAAATTTGTTTTCAAATATTTTTATTGAATTGTATGTAAATGTTGGTTTTTAAAAATGTGTGTATATATATGCAAGTCTTAGTTACTACATGTAACTAGAATGGCTTATAAAAAAACTAGATTGGCAAAAACAAATGTAGCTACATTTCAATATCATATAGTTTATTTTGTGGATTAAATTAGTTACAAAGAACAACATACAAGAGGAACATACACAATCTAAAATCACACCAAATTTGAATTTCAGTTACTTTTGAAAGTAGTTACTAATATATATAACTTTTGAACTGAAAAAAAAGTATCACACAAAAATATTAAGCAGCACTAATGTTCTTAACATTAATAATAAGAAATGTTTCTTAAGAACCAAATCAGCATATGTGACCCTGGACCACAAAACCAGTCATAAGGGTCAATTTTTCGAAATTAAGATTTATACATCATCTGAAAGCTAAATAAATAAGATTTCCATTGATGTATGGTTTGTTAGGATAGGGCAATATTTGGCCGAGATACAACTATTTGAAAATCTGGAATCTGAGGGTGCAAAAAAAATCTAAATACTGAGAAAATCGCCTTTAAAGTTGTCCAAATGAAGTCCTTAGCAATGTATATTACTAATCAAAAATTAAGTTTTGATATATTTATGGTAGGAAATTTACAAAATATCTTCATGGAACATGATCTTTACTTAATATCCTAATGATTTTTGGCATAAAATAAATATCGATAATTTTGACCCACACAATGTATTTTTGGCTATTGCTACAAATATACCCCAGCAACTTAAGACTGGTTTTGTGCTCCAGGGTCACATTTTAGAATTATTTTACATGACACTGAATAATGAATAAAGTAGTGACTGCTGAAAATTGAACATTGCCATTAGAGAAAAATAAAAATAAAAATGTATTTAAATAGAAAAGAGTTATTTTAAATTGTAATATTTCACTATATTGCTGTTTTTATGTATTTTTTATCAAGTAAAGGCAGCATTGGTGAGCATAAGACTTCTTTCAAAGACATTAAAAAAAATCTTACAGACCCCATGCTTTTGAACAGTAGTACACACACACACACATTCAGGAACAGCAGCACAGTGAATGCTCAACACACACACTCCTCTCTAATCTTGGCAATCTGAATCAGAGCCACTCTGGCCTCTTCATCCATGTAACCCTGCAAAAGAAAACCACAGCTTCTGAACATAAATGCTACCATCTTCATGGGTCTACAGTACTTTTGAAAGCACATTAGATAATAAGACAATATACAAAAATAAAATGTTACCTGCGCTGCACTGAGCAACCGTGTTCGGTATATTGAAAGCACATGTCTATAATGTTTTTCACAGTCCTGGCAATAAGAAAAGAAAACAAGAAGTTCATAATGCATTGGTTTCTCTTCAGGTTAAGAAAAAACAATACTGCATAAACCAACATTTCATTTAGAAATGGACAATACAGGTCATAAAGTGCTCTGTTTTGTTGGATTAGTTGGTAAAAGCATCTGAAAAACCTCTCCAGCCACCCATCTCATGGATGTCTCATGTCCACTGATGCCCTTGTTGCTAAGAAACATGCTACTGTAACATATTGCCAGTACATTTCCATCCCCATGGAGCTGAACAAAAGATGTCTGTCTGTGCAAAGGCACAAAAACTCTACTAGCAGACTGAATTTAAATTTGGTGAATTTGGATATGCTGTGCTTTCTCTTCTCCACAAAGACAGCACAAGCAACAGAATATTCCTTAAATCAAAACAAAACATAATTTAATAATTATATTAATAATTCAATAATAATCAAACACTGTTCTTAGTATCACAAATTCACTTTGTATAAATTTGTACTAATTTTTATACCAGATCATTTTTTATTGTCTTGGGTTTCTTAAATGTATTAGTTCTTGTTTTATGATGTATTTTTGTGCAATATTTTTTAGCCCAATTTTTATTTTCTCCAAGAGGATTATTAAAACTGTAAATTGAATTGGTTCACTCAAAAATGAAAATTCTGTCATAAATTTCTCACTTCATGTTGGCCCAGATTAAGTTTGTGTTCCACAGAGGAAAGAAAGTCATATAGGTTTAGAACAAAATTATTATGAGTACATGATTACACATTTTTTTCTTTTCTGTGGAACACAAATATATTTTGAAAAGTGTTGGTAACAAAACAGTTTTGTTTCCCATTGACATCCATTGTAATACAGTGGAAGTCAATGGGAATCAAAACTGGTTACCAGCATTTAGAATTTTCCATTTTGGGTGGACTATCCCTTTAATTTTTGGAAAATGAATATACCAAAGAATCTTATTACAGCCCTATCCAATTACTCATTTTGAGCCAATCTGCACTAAAATCACTGAGGTCTCTAGTTCAAGAAAGCATCAACAAAACAAAACCTAAAAAAATAGCCCTAAACCATAAAGCAATCAGTAACTAACCTCTAGCTGCTGTTGTAGGCTGTGGACCTGAGCCTGGAGAGAGCTGTCAGACTGTGACGGCTCACAGGAGCTGATGGGCTTTGATATGTTGACCTGAGCCAACCTCTGTCCCTCATTCTCCACTGATGACTGAGACAGAGAACATATGCAATAAAATTTTTACGTTTTCTGAATAAAAAAAATATATACAGTGGGTACGGAAAGTATTCAGACAACCTTAAATTTTTCACTCTTTGTTAAATTGCAGCCATTTGCTAAAATCATTTAAGTTAATTTTTTTTCCTCATTAATGTACACACAGCACCCCATATTGACAGAAAAACACAGAATTGTTGACATTTTTGCAGATTTATTAAAAAAGAAAAACTGAATGAGCTCCTTCTGCATCCTCCCCAGTTCAGCTACGGATGCCTCTCGCTGACCTTTGGCCTCTTGGAGCTGGACTCTCAACTCTTCCACCAAGTGCTCCCTGACGGCCACTAGATGAGCTTGCATCTGTCTCATTCGGTTTTCCGAGCCGGCCATCCTCCTCTGCACCTCGCCCAGGGCCTCCTCCAGCTCCCACGACCGGTTATGGGCCGCTTGCAGAACTTGCTCACTGCTTCTCCTCAGTCCTTCGTACTCCTGAGCACGCAGAGCCAGCGCCGTGTCCAGCCTATGCACCTCCGCCTCTGCTGCTTCTTGCCTCCTTCGTGAATCTCTTAGTTCTCTCCTAAGGACCTCCACCTCACCAGGCAATAACTCCATCGGAGCAGATCTAACTGGCACAGGAGCTGACTGTGCAGGCCTGACCTGAATAATTCACAAGGGTAATGATGAAGTAGGAAATAATTTGTTTGTCTATTTTAATTCAACTGCAGTCATTTTTCATTTTGATGAGAATAAGATGTAATATGGTTCATGTCAATTGAGGATATGACTCTTTAATCTCTCATTATAAAAATGACTTAACTATATTAGATGGTGCACCGCATAAAAATCTATATTATATTAACAAATTATTACTATGACTGTTTATTATATATAAAAATATAGAAGGAAAATGTTATATTCTCAATTTTTGTATCACACGTACATTTATATTTATACTGGAAAACACAAAAAATACTCAATGATTGATTGGTTTAGTTGTGAAGGCCTTAATGTAAAATTTAGTTTAATTGCCTAATAAACTGTGCAACATATCAAGGTCACATACTAAATATACAGTGGGGCAAAAAAGTATTTAGTCAGCCACCAATTGTGCAAGTTCTCCCACTTAAAAAGATGAGAGAGGCCTGTAATTTTCATCATAGGTATACCTCAACTATGAGAGACAAAATGAGAAAAAAAAATCCAGAAAATCAAATTGTAGGATTTTTAAAGAATTCATTGGTAAATTCCTCGGTAAAATAAGTATTTGGTCACCTACAAACAAGCAAGATTTTTGGCTCTCACAGACCTGTAACTTCTTCTTTAAGAGGCTCCTCTGTCCTCCACTCGTTACCTGTATTAATGGCATCTGTTTGAACTCGTTATCAGTATAAAAGACATCTGTCCACAACCTCAAACAGTCACACTCCAAACTCCACCATGCCCAAGACCAAAGAGCTGTCAAAGGACACCAGAAACAAAATTGTAGACCTGCACCAGGCTGGGAAGACTAAATCTGCAATAGAATGGGCCAAAATACCAGCAACAGTGTGTGAAAACCTTGTGAAGACTTACAGAAAACGTTTGACCTCTGTCATTGCCAACAAAGGGTATATAACAAAGTATTGAGATGAAATTTTGTTATTGACCAAATACTTATTTTCCACCATAATTTGCAAATAAATTCTTTAAAAATCCTACAATGTGATTTTCTGGATTTTTTTTCTCATTTTGTCTCTCATAGTTGAGGTATACCTATGATGAAAATTACAGGCCTCTCTCATCTTTTTAAGTGGGAGAACTTGCACAATTGGTGGCTGACTAAATACTTTTTTTCCCCACTGTACATATTAATGCCACTGACATTGAAAGAATAGTTAATCAAAAGCGAAGATTTGCTGAAAATTTTGAAACAAATTTAGAGAAATGTAGCATTACATCACTTGATCACCAATCGAGCCTCTGCAGTGAATGGGTGCCATCAGAATAATCCACACAGCTCCAGTCCATCAGTAAACGTGAAGCGAAAAGCCTACTGGTGTGCAAGTAATGTAATGCTAAATTTTGAAGAAACAAAACTCATCTACATGTTGGAATGGCCTGAGGGCAAGTTCATTTTCATCAAATTTTCATTTTTGGGTGAACACAGCAGACACAGATCAAGTCAGGTTAGACGGGGTACCTGTGTAGAATCCAGATTCTGATTTTGTTTGGCACCTTTTCCTTCAGGGAACAGAAAACATGTTTAAAACTTTAGAGCCCAGACCTGAAAAGTTTCTGTGATATGACTGATCGCAATCCTGATGTTCTGCCATGATAAAAAATAAACTAAATAAAAACACACATCCCAAGTTACCTTCAGTAGAGTGACTGCCATGCTCCCTCTGTAATTCAGACACAACCCTTTACTGGTGACATTCACAACTGATCACAGGACCACAATCAGCTTCACGAGAGGAAAATGACTGCCTGATAGCATAGCCTTAATTTAAAAGTTATCCCCTGAAGAAACTCACTGTTAGTGGCTCTGACAAAGGTTTCTCAGTCTTTACTGATCCTGCTTTGGTCCGGCCAATTCCTGCTGATGGGGGTTTAGCCTGCATTTGGAGAGAAAAACACTATGATACTCAAAAACATCATCTGTGCTATTTTATTGTAGATACACTATTAAAGGAATATTCAGGGTAACTAAATGTCTATGTACAGCATCACTGACTTGCTTTGGCTGCAGAGCATATATTTTTTGTTGTTTATAAAATTATAGTTGGTTTGGGGCTGTAAGAAATGGTTCCCGTGGTGATACTGGATGAATATCTCATGGTTGGAAAGAACTCTCAGCCAATCAGATTCGAGGTAAAAGTTAAAACTACATACATTTTATTATATTTTTAAATTATGTTTCGAGATGATATCATGATGCATCTTCAAATGTGTATCCTTCTTCACACTGAATAGTGTAAGCACTTCCTTATGTCTACAAAATATTTTTTTCCAGTAATATTACAGCAAACAAATCAAATAATTTTACATATGTATGACTTATTCACATGAGCATGAGAATCAGTATTCCTCTCCATCAACAGCTGCTGAAGAACATTAAATTTCATCAAATTGATTTCCATCATTGCAGAGACAGAGACAGCAACACCAATCGTTGGGTATTAGGATGGCTCTAATTAAAGTGTTCTGCGATTAGTGTTTCAAACTCTAGATGGCAGTAAGTTCAATAAACAGATTAACTCAGTTTGAGTGCAGCAAACCAATTACCTTTTTGTCTGCTGTTAACTGCATTCCTGTCTAAATACTTGAACTTGACTGCAAATACGCATGCAAATGCGTTTAAACAGTTAAACTGTCAGCTAAATGTCAATGTTACCTGTTGGATCTTCTGTGAAACAGTGGCAGTTTCTTTAGCTGAAAACAAAATTGGAGAAATGTTTTTGCACATTTTGTTTCTGTTTTTAATGCACAACATTTCAGATAAGCATTTGTGCTCACTTGTGCAAGTGACCTTCTTACAAAAAGCATCTGATTTGCTTGGAATAAGCCTTTCGCTTGGAAAGGCCTCTCTATTTAAATAAGACAGTCCTTGGAAAAGGAAGACAGACCAGTCACCGCTTGAAAATGATTTCCTTTTAGTATAAGGATCTGAGAAGTCTCTGTGAGCACAGCTGGATCTGAATCTATCAGGCACTTCTCTTAAATGACATGACATTACCCAGAAATGACAGTGTGCTGGTTGATACGGCAGGTGTAAATTTAAAACTCAACTGACCTGCTGTCTACAAGAGCAAGTTCAGTAATTGCTACATTTAAGGATAAAAAGACCACCATTTTGCAATGCCTTTCTGAAAAAAAAACAGCCTTGCTGGTCACAAGATTATATGGTGTTCTGACACAGTGAAACAACAATTAATTTCAATTTATACATGTATATTGCTAGAAAACGGGGAAATTTGTTTAACAAGGAACAAGTTACCTTTAGTGGTTGTTTCCAAGGCATGTTGTACAAGTGTGATCAAGTCTTGTTTCTGACTTAGTCTGGCATAGTGGTAAGCATCATAGCCATTAAGGTCCACTGCAGAAACATCTGCCTTAGTCTTTAGGAGAATCTCCACTGCTTCTTTACAGGAATTCTCACAAGCTAAGATTAGCGCAGTCCTAGTCAGAACACACATACACACACACACACACACACATACAGAACAAGTGAACAGGTCAAACAAAACACAGAAAAACATGATCGATCAGTTGGTTTGAAACTAAGGCCATTCAAACAGATTCCTTCTGCAAAGCTTAAAAATATCTTTACTTGCATGAGATTTATGGAAATGGCTTATCAAAAGCAGTTCATGGCTTGATGTCCTGAATTATATTATTATATTATTTATTAAATAAATCCAATGCTGTTCCTGATGTTATCGCAATGTTATCGCTAAAGCTTCATGACCTTGCTCACACAGAGTATCTTGTTACTTGTGGTATTCAAAAATGAACGACCTACAAAAAATTGCTCATAAATTTCTCATTAAGCTATATTATTAGGATCCAAATATTGGATCAATGAGACCTATGAACAATCAGTTCCAAAAGAAGTACCCAACCTGTGCTAACTGAAAGAAAATGAATCCAAGATTTGGCGATAATATAGCATAACAAGAAATTTACCATTTTTACAAGGCCGGTCATTTTTGACCATCAGCACTTCACAAAGGTTAAATTAACTTAATTAGCCTTATAACATATTTTTTTCAAATATTGATCAAAATTGTTGACATTATATTGAGTGCCGATTAAAAAAAAACATATAAAAGTACATGGTGAAGCTTTGCTGCTGCTTTCTGCATTCAGTGTACAAATGAAACTGTATGCCACTTCAATTGAAAGATGGAGAAGATGGTTTTCTTAAGGACACTGGCGCAATGCAGCTGGGATGACCTGGGATGGCCTTTTTTATATTAGGTTGCAAGCTAATATACTGATTCACATCAGTATATAGACTGGAACTGAATATAAATATGCATTTGTATTTAAAATGTGATCTTCCTCTTCTGGCATGTTGGTTATACAGATTTGATTTATACAAACTTTTTATGCATCATTATTAATACAGAACATAAAATCTGATCATTTTTAAATACTTACTTGTTTTGCTTGTCTCGAAGAACAATGCATGCTCCATATTGCACAAGCATCTGGCATGCTCCTGATTGGCTCATCTTGGCGGCAAGCAATAAGGGCGATCTACCATCCTGAAAAAGGTACCAAAAGTCAATGCCACATACATTGCAACACCTTTTCGGTTTCAATTTCAAAATCAATTCTTTTATCTCCCTTTCTCACATAGCTTCTTATACATACACAGGGTGCAATGAAGTGCTGTTTCAAAACCTATTTTACTTACTGCGTCGACAGCATCAATAGATGCACCGCTGTCACAGAGCACTTTGATAGCAGATTTGCAGCCTACATATGCTGAAAAACAATAACAAGACGCAAGACGTTATAATTTTCCAATCAAACCTGACAGCTTGACACTATATCTGTCCTTGATGCATCAGCATGCAGTAATTGAAGAATTTATAATGAAAGATCTGTGCAAAAGAATAACAACAATAAATCTGACACACACCCAAAATGCAAAGAAGGAAACTAAAAGAACTCAATGTCAAGAGCCTCATTTGTGGTATGTTCTGTATGCTTGTCATCTGCAGATAAACTATTTGTATGTCAGTGAATTGAATTAAACACTTATATAAGATGTTGCATAGGGTCATGCTCATAAAAAGTTTATTGCTTTAGAGTCCTAAAACCGTGTACATACATGTTGTATAGAATTCCAAATTATTTTTAATTATTTTATATTCTAACATACCAAAGATCTGCTGTCCAACATTACAGTGTGGCATTAATATGTGTTGCTGTTGTGCAGTTGTTGGTGGAACGCTTTATATTAACTATACATAGTTTTGCCATCTTCTCAAATCAAAAAGCAAGTCTGCTGCCATGCAGCAATTATCTTAAAGGCTATGGAGCACATGCAAGTCTTTTCTAAATAGTGGATTTTGGCTGAATTAAGTAATCTTTCAGGCTTCAGCAGTGAGAGGACAGTTCAAGAGCAGGTGTTGTTACTGTTTTATACTTTCAGGATTTTTCATTTTGAAAAAATTATTTGCAGTGGTCATATTGACCAGGCTTATCAATAATAATAATAATAATAAAAAACTATATGAAGCTTTAACGATACATTGTGGTCTGCAAAACAAATGCAAATGTTGTATTATAAATTATGAAAACTTTAACATTTTAAGTGGAATAATAAAAAAAATAAATAAATAAAAAAATGAACAACACTAAATAAAAATAAAATTAATAACATATTTTAAATGTAATTATTTTATTTTATTATGACCGCTTTAAATGTCTAGACCTAATATTTTCCATTAAAATACTATTCAATCAAATTTTCTTAAACATCTTAAAAGCAAAAAAATCCACATACCTGCATCATGCAAAGCCGTATGGCCCTGCAGGTCTGTACCATCAACAGGACATTTACACTGTTGTAAAAATAAGGTAATTATTAACACATGCACATGAGCAATATTATACATTCTGACTCGAAATAAAATGCGTTTTCAAATCTTAAATATGACCCTGGACCCAAAACCAGCCATAAGGGTCAATTTTTGGCCGAGATACAGATACTCGGGATATACCGAGTTACTATTTGAAACTATAACCGAAACTATACAGAGATACTACCCGAGGATGCAAAAAAATCCAAATATTGAGAAAATCGCCTTTAAAGTTGTCCAAATGAAGTTTTTAGCAATGCATATTACCAATCAAAAATTAAGTTTTAATATATTTACAGTAGGAAATTTACAAAATATCTTTATGGAACATGATCTTTACTTAATATCCTAATAATTTTTGGCATAAAAGAAAAATCAATAATTTTGACCCATCCAATGTATTTTTGGCTATTGCTACAAATATACCCCAGTGACTTAAGACTGGTTTTGTGCTCCAGGGTCACAAATTATTTAACAGCTTAAGTTTGGTTACATATTCTTCTGTTCAACAAGCTAGGAACCTGAAGTAAGGACATATTGAAAAGAATGTAAATTGCATAAATTCCATATTAAAGCACATGCTCTCATAATGCGTGCACTTTGGGTCAATCATAAGATTGCATTTGAATAAGCTGGTATGTAATTTTCACACTGATGCTTAGGGTGCATTATATTTTTCTTCTATTACTTCTTTTAATACTTTACATTGTTCATGGTTTTAATTGTTTGTTTTTTTTGCTACTTTAATGCAATTGACTGCCCATTGAAACTCATTTGCATTAATTTTCTTTTCATTTAATTACTGCTGTATTCACATTAAAGCTTTATGAAAGATAATTCATATTTCATACCAGATAACACACCTCACACTCTTAATGGTACGTTTGTGAGCAAAATAATTGTTGCTATGATACAAAAATGAGAAGTAAATTGCTCCAGCCCTGCCTTAAGCACACAGCTTAATGTGGATATCAAAAGCACAAAAAAGTCCAGAGAAAGAAAAAAAACAAATAAACAAAGGCATAAAGCATAAAACACAAAACATAGAGGGTAGGGAAAGAAAAGAAAGCATTGAGCATTCTTTGGCAGAGCAATCGCTAAAGGGGCTGGTTAGACGTCAGCGCTGTGACATTCCAATGTGGTTTCTCATTAGTCTTTCTTCCTGTGATTGTTATTGGAGGAACGGTACCTGCAGCAGCCTCTGCACACACATGGAATGACCGCCTGCTGCAGCCAGATGCAAAGCTGTTTTACCTGCAGAGAAGAATGACAATGACATTTACAACAAAACATACAGTAAGTTTTTCATAAATGGGTTGGTCCCTCTTTTGCTGTAATGGCAACAGCAGCTGCATGAACTCTACAAGTTTGTCTAACGCCTGAAGATGATATTCTCCAACACGATTTGAATTTCACAAATTTGCTTATTTAACAGTTTGATTAGCAATAGTGCGGAACCTTAGTCTTACCGGCAGCATCTACGGCCTTCACATTGACACCGTTATCCAGGAAAACATTTAGACTATTCATGAGGCCTTTGCTAGCAGAAACATGAAACCTTAAAAAAAAGAATATAAAAGTAAATTCATAAAATATAAGAATAATTACCACCAATAACATCAGTAGTTGTCATAATGTTATGTACAGTGGGTACGGAAAGTATTCAGACCCCCTTAAATTTTTCACTCTTTGTTATATTGCTTGTATATTTATTGCATATATTCAGACAATTAATATCATCATACTTTTATGAAAATCAAAACAAAAAATATAGGTGAGTTTACCAGTGATTTACCAATTATATGAGGATGTATAAAGAGCCAAGAAACATGAAAAGAAACATGCAACAACATGGCAGTCTAGGCCTGTTTCAACAGAAAATAGACACAGCCACTCCTTGAGCCTAGTAACAAAGCAGCATGAGACATCAGTGCTAAGATCACCAAGACTGTTGCTATTTGAAAAGTTAAATAGTTAGAAGACAAAAGAAGGATCAGCAAGATGTAGGAGTGGGTATAAAGACATTGTGTAGCATAACATTTTATCTATTTAAAAAAGGAATGAAAATATAATGCACAGGAACTATTTACATATTTACTGGCAAGGTCAAGGCAAGGAAATGCATATATTCTATTTGACAGAAAAACGTTAGCAGGTAGAAAATATTTAACAAAAACAGGACATGACTGAAATCCTGTCACAGGCCCTGACACACCTAATACATAACAACCCCTTTTTAAAACAGTTGACCTGAAGAGATAACGAAATTACAGGCTGCATGTAACACTGCACACCATGTTTAATACTCTCCCATAAACATATTATCACTGGAGAACTGCTGTGCTACACATTTATGATTTAGATAAACGCCTGTGCAGTTAGAAAGATTTACTGTATGATGATTTGTTTAGTCTGTGGAATAACTTCTCTACTTTCCATGCTTCTTTGTTTCTCTAATTAGGAACCTCTTTTGTGTCTTACGTAGCTCCATTATAAATGGGAAGTGATGTGATGGGCAACTGTCTAACTAGTCAGGTATGAAAAATGAAACACTTGTTAAAACCTTGTAATTGCCTTTTTCTTTCATTTTGAAAAAGCAAACAAACACAATATCTAAACCAAATGACAGAAGCAGCAAACGTTAATATTGGGAATCATGGAGCTTTTTCTTTTTTAATCTAAATTTTTCATCTATCTATGAAGCAAGCAAAGACGATGGAACTAGAAACAATCTTGCTACGACTGTTTTAGTGCCATTTAAAAAAAATTTATATACGAGATTAAATTAATATTATTTTTAGAATGTCAACATAAACTCACAGCAACACAAGAATAATGTTGTAATATTTTCAGAATAAAGTCTTAGAATTTTGAGATTTAAAGTCACAATATTTTGAGAATAAATTCAAAATTACCAGAACAAAGTTGTAGCAACTTGAGAATAAAATCATAGCAAAATAAGAATAAAGTCATAATTTTTGACATGAAAAAAGCAAGCTGCAAAGCAAAATCGTTCACATGAAATATGGAAATTGGATGGCTTCACAATTAAAATGAAGTAATAAAATAGGTTCTAGCAAGGCAATGTGAAAACTACATATTTTGACTTTATTTTCAAAAAAATTAACAATTCATAATTTTTGGCTTGATTCTGAAAAACAAATGTACTGATCATACTTCTTGGAGGTTCAACATTTATTTGTGTGCTTCGTTTATCCTTCTTCACGCTTACAAAACTATACTACTATTTATCACCACAAGTGTGCAGCAGGCCCAAGGAGTAAAGATCTCATACAGCGAAATATGGAAATTGGATGGCTTCACAATTAAAATGAAGTAATAAAATAGGTTCTAGCAAGGCAATGTGAAAACTACATATTTTGACTTTATTTTAAAAAAAATTAACAATTAATACTTTTTGGCTTGATTCTGAAAAACAAATGTACTGATCATACTTCTTGGAGGTTCAACATTTATTTGTGTGCTTCGTTTATCCTTCTTCACACTTACAAAACTATACTACTATTTATCACCACAAGTGTGCAGCAGGCCCAAGGAGTAAAGATCTCATACAGATTGTGGAAGCACTACCATAGTTTTGTCAATTATACAATAAAGGAATACAGAACTCTGCACGAAGCAAACCGGGCATTCTAGATGGCTTATCCTAGAGGGCAAAATGTAAGAAGAAGAAGAAACAATGCAGAATTGGGATCTAAATAGCATTAAGGGTGAAATAGCTGTAAAGAGGTTAGCGTGCATGTGCAAGTCATGATCCAGGCAATTCTAATACAAAAGAAGAAAAACACTACAAAACTACTTCAGACTCCCTATTTTTCATTCTGAAGCAGCTACTGGAAATAAACAAAAAACAGCAATCAAGGTATTGTGCATTGCAAGGGAGGATGAGGGCACAAAAAATAGGACTATCAAAATCCCTTCCCTCATTCCCTGGCTGGACATTTGCACTTTTATTAAAAAGCTATCTTTTGTTTTGAGATGAGTGATGAAATGCATATAGGATAAGTGAGCACAGGAGTCCCAGCAGGCAGGAAAGAGACATGTTTTTGAGATTCACGTCAAATGAAAGATCGCAAGACCACTTGATCCCAGAGCCCTTCACAGAGGGGCTCGCTTCCACTTCAAAACATAGTGTGGGAATGAGTTTAGTAGTGCACAAAACCACAGAGGATGCTGACTTACTTTAAAATGAGTTGTATTTGCAAAAATGTTATGACAGTCAGTTGGTTTTGTTGCTTAAATGTAGAAACTATAGATTATACGCGGGGACTTATTCTTAGTAAAGTTTGAGTAAAGAGCATGAAATACTGCTATTTGTACAGTGGACAATATTTTTCAGCATCAGGTAAGAGGGGGAAAATTTGAAAGTGGCACTTACGCAGAATGGCCCTCTAGGTCTAGTTTGGTGGGGTTGGTTCCTTTCTTGAGTGTGGCTGTGAGTTTCTCTAGATCTCCATTCTCTGCTGCCTTCATCAGACGCTCATCATACTTTCCCCATTCTGTACTCTGAGACAGTGGCAAACACAATATTCACACCACCAGTTTCACTACCTATTCTATTGCAGCTCCACAGATTCATCACTGGAAGTGTAATCACTTTTGTCATTGTCTGTTCGGCTCGGGTTTCTTTGTTTTAATTTGCCAAAAACGAAAACGTATTGATTTTGATTGGCTGACAGACGTTCTAATCTGTCTATCATTTTCAATAACCGCACTATGAAGTAGTTCCAGGTCTGTTGACCGCTTTACAATTCCATATCGCCAAATTATTTCAGTTATTCAAAGAACCTTATAGTCTACCACAGCAAAGTAACCAGAAAGCAGATACAATAACAAACACGTTTGTGAGATTATTCTACAGTCGTATTCCGTTGCAACAACACAGTAAACAATCTCTGCTTGTCTCACTCACTCAAGCGGAATGTAAACCACAGTGAAATGCCGTGATAAAACCAACTACTGTCGCGTATTTCCTGAAGATGTGATAAATGAGTCTGAAGAGTAGAGTCCTTGTCACTTTAGCCATAAACATAACAATTCATTCCTGGCGTTCAACAAAATAATACGCAATTTACAGTACCACCCACAGCCCCATTACTACATACAGATTCAGGACATGTTATGGCCTTGGTCCAAAGTCTTGACAAGCTTTTCGAAATAGTAAAACTTGTATCTAATGTAATGTTTACCTCGTTTTTCTTAAGCCGTTGTTTGAAACTTTTCATAGTTCCAGTATTACTGTAGGCTAACTAAGCCCAGTACACTTGTCCAGATGTCCAAATGTGCGTCTCTTGTCAAAGTTTGCCTGCAAACTTTATTTCCCCCCTCGGTTACACGGTTCAGGCTCTATTGAGACCTGACGCACTCCCATGAACCAACAGTCAGGAAAACTGTGTAACAATGAGCCAATCGGCGTGCACTGGGAGCCTCCGTAATCCGTATGAAGGTCACACCGTGGAAAAGCTGATTCACATGATTTGTGGGCTACAGATTTCACAGACTCTATAGATGCCTTCGAAACCTGCTCGACAATGAGGGTTTGTTTTGGATACAGCTTCGAGTAATGCTGTCAGTAAGCTAGTCCTGTTTGAAAACTGGTAAACACAGTTGCGTCGTCAGTTGTTGGTTGGGAAAATACCTGTTTTTTTTAATTTAGCATATGATTTAAATGAACATGAATTTGATATAGCACTTTTTGTGATTTTGCAGGGGGAAAAAATGATATACTTGCGCTACCATGGACCTGTTGTCCATGTACCAGGTTTTAAAGTTAATTTTTTAGGTTCCAGTTATTAATGAAAATGTATATTATAGCGCCACCTAGTGTGTGTAGAAAGTCTGTATGCACGCTTGATTGACCCAAAGCTTCTTTGCAATTGGCAGCTTCTTTACGAAAGAGCCACTCGAGTTTATGAATCATCCTGCGAATAACATCCTCTTTGTGGTATCATTTAACAGCCCTCTAAACATATAAACAACAGGAGATTCATTTCTTTGTTGAAATACAGAAAACCCTGAACAATAATTCAGCTGCTGCTGCTACTTACAATAAAAATGCATTTAATTCCAGGGTTATGTTCTTTGAGGTGGTAAGTCTGTCATTTTATGATGTTTGAGTGGCTCCAGCTCAAGTCTGGGAACTCTCCAAATCCAGCAGACAAACCGGTTTCAAACATGAGCCTCTTGAAAGACCGCATTCATTCCGCCCTTAAAATATGTTCTATGTAACAGCAGCCACCCAAACAGAGCGTATTCATTGCCCTTGCCATTGTATTTCTCAAAAAGCAGTTGTACAAAGTGCTTTAACGGTCACTGCAGTATGTTATGTGAAGCTGAGCTACACTCTCGTGTTAGCCAGTGCTGCTGTGTGGTTTCTGAACATTTGTAGTCTGGTGAAAAATTATATTCATCTGTACAGTAACATGCCCTTTTAATTTCATATACCTAAGACAACATACTCAAAAGTTACAATTGCAAATCCCCCAAATGTATATTAGATTGAAGCAAGCAAAGAACTAAAAACAGACACTTGGACTTTAAATCACACTCTTCAAAGGTTATGCATTTTCAAATGTGACCCAAGGTCAACGGCATCTGCTTTAATGTGGCTGCACACCATTGAATTGCTATTGCTACATAACCTTTACTTTTCTTAACATCAAGATGTTATTCATTGTTGAAGCATTGTTAAATTGGCAAGAGTCCATGTGTCATTGAAAAAAAAAATGCAGCAGAGTCACAGCTGAGAAGGACAATTTATTGAACTGACATGTTTGAAGAAGAAAAAAAAAACTGAAATTTTGCAGCATTTCAACTATACACGACCAGGTTTTGTTTATGAATATTACATAAACCAAAAAAAAAAAAAAGGATCAATAACATGGGAGCAATTACCAGCAGCTTTCCGAAGAAATGTAATCCTTATCTGGAATACCAGACATCATCCTTAGAGTACGGAATAATTATTGACTGATGTTGTGGGCACTAAGATCTTCCACAAGACTTGATGAATGGATTTATAAAAATAAAAATGAGGACCAGAACGTAGCACCAAACATCCACACTGGCTTTGCCCTCAGACAGCTTTGCGATGATATTCTGGAGGTGCAACCTCATAGTCACTTGCACTGAACAGAGACGATGAATTCTTCACCAAATACCTAAATCGAGCATAAAAGTCAGTTACTACCTGCAAGCAATGTATAAAATCCATATAATGATCTGCAAAGCTTTGGCTTGACATTAGGCCAGCTTTATTGAAATCTAGTGTACAAGATTATCATGAAATGTCTTAACCTGACAGCCTCAGAAAGTTGCTCAAATCCTCAAAACAAATTCAAAACACAGATTTCTACTTACTTTAAAAAATCTTGCAGGTAGCTGAGAAGCAGGGCCAGACTCTTATCATCCAGAGGTGTGTAGGCCAGCATTGCTCCAATTCTCACTGTCAGTGGACACAAAATAGGCTATAATTAATCAAAACATTCTCTGAGACATGGAGACTGATTAAAGCTCCCCCTAGAACTCATTCACGTGTTCTTTGCTGTATTTTCATGATTGCATTAAGCTTTGAGGATGTGATAATGGGCATGGATTAATATGCATCTTTCTATAACAGCTTCATAGAGCATTCAAAGCTCACATTTAACATTTTGTTTCTTGTAAAATATCTGAAATTGACTGGTTGCTTTGATTTTAAAAGGTACAATTAGTTTTCTAAATAAAATTAGCATACCAAAAAGCCTCAGCAGGTGCGGCGCTCCGTAGATCTGAGACATGGATTTATCTGGATGGTTTGCTAGGATCTCTGCATACTGTGGCCTCTCAAACTTGTAGAGGAGCTGAGTGCCCAACATGACATTGAAGTACTCGCGGATTCCAGCAACCACCTCATTCACGGCCTGTTCCCTGAGTAAAGATCAAGTACCTCTTTAGAAACTCTCTCTACATCTTATTTGTAAATTTCTACAACAGGGTATTTCAAATTAACTGGATGATTTACATAACAAATGAATAATTTGTACAATGGTGATTTCAACTAAATGGATAAGAATTTTTTTTGCACATGGCATACAAACATACTTGTTATCAGAGTTTCCTCTTGTTCTCTTGTAACTTGCATAGTCCTCAAGGACATCATCTACTTTCTTTTTTGCAGGCAAGTGAAAAAGCTAAAGGGTAAAAAAAAAAAAAGGAAATAAACCACAAATATTTTCACAGTGCATATTAAGGCGTGTTCACACCATGTCAGAATTAGCGTAACTACAAGATTCTGACTTGTAAAAAGTTAATGTCTTTGTAGAACTCATAATTATAACCTATAAACTCTGACAGTAGTTTTATTAACAGTAAAATGCAGGTCAGTAGTTACCTTTGTAATATTTACAATTATGCATAAAACTAATGACTAACATTAATGTCTGAATAATGCAGTAATCTAAAAATGTAATAACAGACAAAAAATACTTTAATGTGACTAGCACATAGTTGAATACATCTAATGGCCTACTAATTAAACTATATGTTTATTAATAATCTATTTGCATAACAACTGCTTCTTTGATGGATTGCAGTTTTGTCTCTTGATTACTCAAATTACAAATTCATTTAATTTTAAAGATTTATTTTTGCATTTCTTGCCTTTATTATATAGTACAGTGGAGATCAGACAAGCAGCGAATTGGTACAGAATCGGGAAAGCACCACGAGCCGGGACTTGAACGCTGGTCACCCTAGAAATGCATAATTCCAAGTCTGAAAAAGAACAGCTCCGAGTAGAATGGCTCAGATTGTCATCTAAAAATTATGCTAATTACGACATGGTGTGAAAACAGTATTACATTTCAAAACTCAATTTAAAGGGGTTATATGACGTTGCTAGAAAGAACATTATTTTGTGTATTTGTGTAATTAAATGTGTTTATGCGGTTTAAGGTTCAAAAAACATTATTTTCCACATACTGTACATTATTGTTTCTCCTCTATACCCCGCCTTTCTGAAACACGTCGATTTTTACAAAGCTCATCGTTCTGAAAAGCGAGGTGTGCTCTGATTGGCCAGCTATCCAGTATGTTGTGATTGGCCGAATACCTCAAGCGTGTGACGGAAATGTTACGCCCCTTACCATACAGTGATGGCGTGTCCCAGAGCGACGAGACAAAAACATTAAAACCCATTATAAACGAGGCATATGTTGCATCCAGTGGGGACTTAAATACGGATTATAATGACTTACAGTGGTGTGAAAAAGTGTTGGCCCCCCTTCCTGATTTTTTATTTTTTTTGCATGTTTGTCACACTTTAATGTTTCAGATCATCAAACTAATTTAAATATTAGTCAAAGATAACAAGATTACTGAGCAAAAAGAACAGTTTCAGTTTCAAAAAATCTCAGTTTTGCCAGAAAACATCTTGATGATCCCCAAGACTTTTGGGAAAATACTCTGTGGACTGACGAGATAAAAGTTGAACTTTTTGGAAGGTGTGTGTCCCATTATGTCTGGCGAAAAAGTAACACTGTAAAATATGGTGGTGGTAGTGTGATGGTCTGGGGCTGTTTTGCTCTGATAAACGGAACCATGAATTCTGCTGTTTACCAAAAAAATCCTGAAGGAGAATGTCCGGCCATCTGTTCGTGACCTCAAGCTGAAGCGAACTTGGGTTCTGCAGCAGGACAATGATCTGAAACATTAAAGTGTGACAAACAAGCAAAAAAAATAAGAAATCAGGAAGGGGCCAACACTTTTTCACATCACTGTATACTGTCTTTTTACACGTTGCATCGCGCCGCATAAACATAAAACCATGTCTACATTTGTGATGAGAGAAATGACAAACAACAAGCACAACTCTACACTGCTCAAAACTCGCGTTTGAATCATCAGTGGCAAATTCCACCAGGCTGGGAGGAGAATTTTTTTTGTTAAAGGGGTCATAGGATGCTACATGCACTTTTACAAGTTGTTTGAACTGAAAGACAGCATTCTGTATTTTAATTATTATACAATATAGTTGAATAAAGAGCAATGCAGAAGTGGGATTGGGTTGAGCATGGGAGGTTGTTTTAAGTTACCTGCTTCTGTCTAGTGATCAGGTCCCAGTCATCTACCAGCCATGGTTTTAACTCTTCAGGAATTTTTACCTTCACTTCTACTCTGTTAATGAAAGTCTCCTCCTGTACACAAAGCCAGTTTGGGAGTCAAAAACCGCCTCACTTTTCACTTCTGTTAAAACACCAACTCAGAGTGACTCTAAATGCTGGCCATTTAATTTAAACAGGCTTTGAACTGACATACACTCTCCACAGTTGGGTCAACACGTGCCCTCTTCTTGCGTGGGGGGTGAGGCATGTCCCCAGTGCTAGTGCCTTCTCCAGCCCCAGGTGCTGAGAAGCAAACAAGACAAGATT